GACACGGCTGCAGGGCAGTGAGAGCTGCAGCTCAGGCAGGGCCAAGGCAGGAGCCTCTGCTGGAAGCAACTCCCCCCATCAGGGTTTGCCCCCACAGTGCCTGGGAGCCTCCCCCCAAGGTCACTATGGGGAAGGGGCCACTTTTGGCTGCAGTGGCTCTGAGCTGGCCCCCAGTCTCAGCAGCCCAAGTGTCATGACCTCCTGCAGATGCTCTCATAACCCTCACAGCAGAGCTCCCCATCAGGCTTTCCCAAACAAGCCCCTCACAAAGGCTGCATTGTTACTCTTGCATGGCTGGAGAACAACAGACAAGAGATGACAGCCATATGCACCCATCAGTTTGGCTGAGCACAATTTTCCAGGCACTGCTGGCTCTGTGGCCATGACAGTGCTAGTAAATGAACCATGCCTGCAGCACTTTGCTGGATCTATGGCTTTAGAGAAAACCTGAGTGAATGTTTTTCTGATTACATTTCGTGGCTGTGTTTCTTTTCTCCTTACAGTAGAGCACTACCATCTTTATGAAAACAAAAAGTCAAACTTTGCTCAAACCCAAAAATGTAAGGAGTTCCATAGGAACAGCAAAATGTCTGGGTACATGCCAAAGTTGTACTACTTGTCAGCAGGAACTATCATGCATAAATGGGACTTTAAAAATGCCTAAAAAAACCTGCCATGGCCCAGGCCCCTGTGGACTAAATGCCCATGGTTTTCCAGGCAGTACAATTTTACTGTTATCAGCTGTGATATAGCAATGCAATAGTAATAGTGATTTTTCCATTAGGATCAGACTGAAGTGGATTAGGGGTTGGTACCACAAGTATCACTCTGACAAGAACCTCACAGCTGCTGGCACCATGCAAACACAGCAAGAGACTTTACCTGCTCCCCAGGAGCATGTGCTCCCAGGACATTGCAGGGAAAAACCAAAAACATTCTCAAACAGGACCTGAGCAATTCCATTCTTTGAATTTCATTTGTTTCACTGGCAGTCTATTTTGCTTCTCAAAGGTAAAAGCATATTCAAAATGCTTCAATGAAAGGTGTAAGAGCTGCATGCCTGGATCACTCTTAACTTTGCTGGGAAATACACCTCATTGCTTACTCATGAAGCAGACCACAATGTAGAAAACTCCTGGTAAGAGAAGTAACAAGGGTAAGCATAAAGGAGCTCCCATTACAGAGTAAAACAGCAGCAGATAAAAATGATGAATCATTAAAACACTTTCCTTGTCCCGGCTCACCTCCTAGTGGGATGCTGTTCCTGGTAGCTAAAAAGCATACATCAGTCCCATGCCTCAGAGCTGCAGATGGCTGCTAGATGAAAATACAGTTTTCAGACATTTCTACTCCACAGGCTACAAAGGATCTGTGCACAAGAGCTGCTCATTAAGTGTTACTCCAAAAGTTTCAAAGAGTGTCTGTATGATGGCAGTCCTCCTCCCTTGATCTTTCTCCAACTCAGGCTTCTGAATTCTTATGAAGACTTAGGAGGAGATTTTAAACGCTGCTGTGCATTCAACTGCTTCTGGTATTGTTTGGCTTATACAACCAGTTGCCACCAGTGTATGCAGGAGATGGAGAATTAATCAGCAGAGACAGCAGGTGTTTTGAACCCCTATTCTTTTCTGTGGTCCCTGCAGGGACCGTCAAAATACATGGCTATTTTATACCAAGATCCAGTGAATGATAGCATCTAACAGATGCTTCATCCTTTGAGAACTTTAGCTGTAACAGACCAGAAGCATCTGGTATTCACTTCTGAACAGCAGATCAGAAAGTAGGAGACTCAAAGAATCCCACCCAGCTCATATGCCCAGTAATTCCCAATTGAGATCAAAGTGCATCTTCTGAGCACATTTTGCAGGACACATTAGCATGCACCTCAGTAATATCCTATTTTAAAAAAAAAGAAAATAATCAAGAAAGGAAGGTGTGAACCACATCTGGCCCACAGTAACACATTATCAGAAACCAACATATGGTGAGTCTTCAATGCAACAAAAACTAATACTTAAAGGGACAATCTTGCTCTAAAATAGTCAGGGAGCATGTGAGCCCCATACACCTATTGGAACTTTGTCCAACTCAAAGATATATATGCTTGATGACCATCAGTCTGACTCTGGCTTTTAAAATCAGGCTGAGAAATGCAACTGCATTTAAAAATCAAAATGCTGTCCTTCAGAACAAAGCAGAGATGTCTGGTAAAATCCAAGAAGCTGTTAAGAAATAATTTGGTGACAGTAGTACAGTCAGATCAGCTCTGTGGCAACTCTGGGTTCAGAAAATGGGAGAAAGATTAGCATCTGTGGTCTGATTAACTTCCAAAACAAATTGTATCAGCAGCTATTATTACATGAAATGTACCTACAATACTAGTTTCATACAGATCCCTTTACCAAAAATAATATTTTCAGTATTGGTTATACATCTGGGAATACATATGAGGAAAATAAGACCATTATTGTGTAAAAAACAAACTCACAACCTTTATTTGTCACATTTCATGTACATGCAGAATGTATTTACATTTCTCTTTTAAGGCAAACAGAAATTGGGTTCTTATACCTGAGTTGCTTAGCACCAGTAGGAATAGCAAATAAAAACTTAGGAACTGTTGTCTCTCCTTTTGGAGTAGCAGCTGCACAGTATTTCTGCTTTCACCTCACAGTTCTTTTAATGATCTCTACTGCCACTTGGAGCCATTTCTGCAGAATTCAATCTCTTCACAGAAACTCCTTGACCATCTTGATGTTGGCTTTGCTATTTGCTGACAGCACAGCAGTATATCTGCTTTTGCTGACATATGCATCAAGGTATTCAGTTACTTTAAGAGTTCTGTATTTCTCCACTACCAAGAAAAGCTAACACTATATTTTTATGTTTTTCTCATGTGTGCTGGCCGCTTCTCCAATGCTAAGTAAAAATTAAGAGAGGGAAAAGTTCACCTCAGCCAGTGGAAGATTTTAGGGCTTGACTTTGTGGAAATGCCCACTGAAGGGTTAGCTTTTAGGGAAGAAAATGCAAAGCAGTTTTTCAATTAAAAAAATGCTCTCTCCTAGTCTGACTAACATTTGAGCCATCTGCATTATCTCCAGACTTTAGGCATTTGCTAGAATTTAGGATGTTGAAATACATTTAAAATACAGAGGCAGCATTTTCAAGTAAGTGTTTGACATTTTTCATTTCCCATTGACTCAGTCTATCAACACCACTAATTCCAAGAGGCACTTTTCTACCACGACTTTTAAGAAGACCAAAGAACACAATCCTAAGAGACAACATCTATCCTGTAAAAAATAAAAGTTTCTGTGTAACACAGAAGTGTAGACCAAGCAGAAAGCCATAGTGCAAAATGGAGTATGATTCTTAAGTATGCCTTCCTCTGTGAGAAACCTGTAGTTTGGAAAAATATTTTGATTCAATATACATTCTCTGCTTTTTTTTAATGAATTCCTGAAACTGTCATTTTTAATGACTTGTCAAATACATGAATTTAAGTTTTCTCTTACTATTTAGTTTCTCTAGGTGTCCACCTCAGCTAATCAACCCTCATCACAAACAATTTTTAAACAAATGCTAATATTTACAGGTGTTTAACTCAAACATTCATTGAAAGAAACAGAGTAACTGTGCCTTTATTAAACTTATGGTTTATATTGGATATTAAAGCAAAAAAACAACCCCAAGTAATTTCTTCTTTTTTCCAGTTACTACCTGCTAGGATCAAATGTCTTCTTTCACATTCATTTCACTCAGTAGTAACACACCCACAGTGTATTACATTGGAAATAACCCACATCCAAACAGTCAACTATGAAGATACTACCTTTAAGAAAGACAAGCAATTTCACACAGAAATTCTTCCTAAAGGTTTGCCAGTTCTTTTCCCCACCCCTTACAAACAAAGCACCCAGGAAAATACAATAACAGGACAGTAAGAGGAACTCAGGAAGCATCTAACCTATGTATCCCACCAGAAAGCTGACTCCTTCTGCTAAGGTACCTCTCCACAAAAGGTCTGAATGTTTTTCCAAGTAAGATGAGTTTAAATTGGTAAAAAAGGGAATAATTATTACTCTTCACCTGGTAGCAGCTTTGTACACTGTAAAAAAAAACAGCTTGCTGCAGGTATTCCTGATGAAGTCTATCATTTTGGTCCTCATTTCATTTCCTATAAAGTGACCCACATGCAGCTTTATTTTTAAAATCAGCACTGCTGATTGTCTGAGATAATATCAATATTAAGATGCTGGAGAGCTTACAAAATTTTAGAAAATCTGAAGAAATTCTCCCTGTAAATCCTTGATCTCTAGTCTACTATACAAAGAAAATGCACTGTATTTAGGGAAAAATATTATACAGTGATTATATATCCAGTGACTGTTCACCTAGCAAGTTTATGAAATCTTGTCCTGCTATGCTGGTTACTTTGAAAAAAATCTAGGACGTCAACAGTTCTGAGGTTCTCTTCCACTCACACAGGACAGGGGATGCAGGCACTCAGTCACTCTGCTACCCACTGCAGTCCCTGAGGTAACAGGAGATGATTAGCCTTCCCAGGCATCTCAGCAAAGTGAAATACTCCACAGGAAGTCACATGAATACCCCTTGCATTCACGATGGTTCAGTGGCCTTGGAGAGCAGTCACAGCACATCAGACATACTGTGTTCTCAGCTTGCCTGGGGTGGTAACTTGCTCTCTTCAGATGTCTGAGTTAAGAATTAATCCTGCTCTTTTGAGGATGGCACCAGGTTATTGCAGTCTGAGTCCTTTTGTGCAGAAGGAAGAAGTTTGTAGGCAGAAATAAGTTTCTGGATATTTTTGAAATGCTACGCCCAAAGGCACCAACTTCCACATGCAGAGTAAAGGACATTGTTACAGTGCAGATGAAACAGATTAATAGAGCTTATTTATAAGAAGTTTTATACACCTGAAATGTCACAAACATTTACAACTTCTCTGCCTTCCTCTGAGTTCTGAAAATACTGAGCCATTACACTGCTGTCTCCTTTGAATCCAATGTCTGTGGTGGCTTGAAGTTCAGTATCTCTTTATATGTAATGCCTGCAAAACAACAGAATAGACATAGCATTGCTGTGGTCTAATCAGAAAAGGAGCTGCACAAACATGAATGAGCAAGGTGCAACCCCAGTATGGCTGGGCTCTGATCTAGGTCAGGAAGAGAGAGACCTCTTCAGGCAGAAAGAGAGGAAGAGTACAAAAAGTAAGGGAATCAAGGATGACTTTTTCACCATTTGAAGATTTGAAAAAGTAGCCCAATACTGAAATTATATAGGTGCTTTCAGAGGGATGTGAGCACTGACTTTTGAGTATAGTGGGCAATATCCTCAGCAAGAGTTACTGAGCACATTAGATTTAAGTTAGGGCCTCACTTAAAAGCCAAACTACAAACTTCTGACCTTAGATGAAAACAAGATTAGACTTAAATCTCTGCTGACACAGATATGTTTTTTTTTCCCTCAGAGACTCTAACTTTAAGGCCAGCAACCACTGCAATCCTGTAGAGGCAACAGTCACACAATCTCTTCACCTGCTCTATCCACCAAAAGGCAAGTTACAGAAATGGTTTATTTTCTATGTTCCAGAAGATGGGAGGACAGAAACATTAGGGAAATGGAGGATGGCCTCTGTTAGGAAGCACAGAAGAAACCTTTAGAAATCCTTCCACAAGAACTTGGTAAGAGGAACACTGGTAGCATCAGTAGCATTTCTCTTAATGCTGTCTATTTACCCTGTTTTATCAAAAGCAGAGGAGTTAATTAAGGGGGATAATTTTTATTTCTGCATGGCCTTTCAATCTGGTTAATTCTGAAAACATCACAAAATTAAACTCACGCTTCCATTCATCTAGTGGAAGATCCATGTTATCAAATGTGTCGTCGTATTTCTCAGCTTCAATTTCTTCCTCAGGATCGTGAATTGGTTCAAAGTAAGGATGCACCAAAGCCTCAGCTGCCGTGACTCGCTTCTCTGCATCCAGCACCAGCATCTTCTCCAAAAGGTTTACAGCTATTGCACAGAAAACCAACAGTGTATTCAAATCACATACCTGATTCCACTTGTACACAGTAATACTGCCCTGGAGGTATTTCAAATAAATACATGGAGTAACAGAACAGAATCATTGCATGTCCATTTGTAGCCAGTGGGGCCTCTTTGCATGACTGTTGTGAGCAAGCTGGGATGTGTACAAAGCCTGATGCAAGGCAGAGGTGCTCCCTTGCTTCTGTATGCAATACAGAAAACATCTCAGCTAATGACTCCTCAGCTTCTGGCTCCAGGACCACTGTGCCTGGGGCTTTCCCAGGTGTCTTGAACCACTGCCACTTATTGTGGTTCTAAGGTACATCACGCCCTGACAGCAGCTGAATGAACAGGTGAACAGGGAGTGAGAACTGCGCTCTGTGTCACCAAATCCAGACCAAGTACACTCTGAAGGTCACTAAGGCAGGTCAGCTGTCCATACTCAGACTCTCAGGGCTAACTTTATCTGCTATGTGGTTTTGATCTCAGCCTAAACAACCCATTAAAGTTCTGCATGTTCCCCTTCGGTGGATTCTGGATTCATTCCATTGCTAGACTGTCAAAGTGGACTAGTGTAAACAGGTATGATGAATGATTAATTTATTTTCTGTTTTTCTATCCTGAAAGGATGTTCTTGGATTTAGGGCAGCTGAAAGGAAGTAGAGGCAGTGTGGGAAGTGATGCTTCACCCCAAGAAGTGTGGGACGCTTCAACTTCTGCTTGCCATGTTGCATATTCTCTTTAAACTATTCCAGACCTGAAGCAGCCAGATGGCCACAGAAATGATAAAAGACATCCTAAGAACTAAATGGAAATGTGTAGCTTGCTGCAGCTACCCATCAGCTAACCATGTAGTAAGGGTAAGAGCTGTTTCTTAATCAGACTTATTTGTACCGTATCTGAACCTAAAATTTTAACTTCAATTAAGAAAATTCAATTATCCTAATTAATATTCTAATAAAACTGGCTTGTTAGTGTTTAGATCATTGGGGAATTGATAATGCTTAAGGAGAGTCATTTCAGAGCTCTGTCTGCCTCAGGTCATGTCACAGTTATGCACAGTTGGTAGGCTCTTCTGGCTGTTAAGATCTATGGAATCCAAGCCATTATTTCTCAGGAATGCACAGATGTTTCTCAGGATGTATTAATTCTATTACTAAAATGTCAGCTTTCCATTTTCTTGTATTTCAACTGCCAATCAGATTGGGCTTTCAGAATTGTAGTTCAAATACAGTACAGAAAAACTTTTATTACATTTACTTAATATGCTAGGGCTCTTGAGAAAACTGCTCAAGTAAAACCAGTAAGTAGGTACTAGATTGAAACCTAAAACACAACATACTAATTTTTTTTATGCTTCTAAGAAACAACTGATTCCTGGCAGGGTTTAAACTTCAGTTTCCACAATCAAAATGATGAATTATGGAAAGGAAGAGACAGAATAGCCCAAGAACCACCACGTCCCCTGTCACATGACTGAATTACAATGCAGCTGCCTCCAATGCAAACACAAGAACAAGCTGCACACATACACACAAACAGCCTTACCCAAAGGATTTGCATACTTCAAGATGGATGCAAAATCTTTCTTCTGGACTTTTGGGAGGCTTTTGATATAATTTTTTGCCTTAAAAGAAACATGGATATTAAATTAGATCATTGCCACCTTTGTAATGAGACAACATTAACTATATTCTTAATACCTTTCTCAACAATATTTTGACAGCATGTTGTACAAATGCATTTTTTCTGATGATATTCACCTTCTTCCTGAATGGAATCTTTTTTAATCACTTTAAAACCATGATTTAGAAATTATGATGTGAAGCTTTAATTATTAGTGCTCCATATTTAGTATATTTATTCAAATAAATATGTGTGAAGTATTTGAAAGAATGTCATACTGAGTTTACAGCAATATCTAGAAGTAAACCTTATACAGTAATTCCTTTACATTAAAACTGAATAGTTAAATTAATGAATAAATTTAGGTTCTTTATAGGAAGGGCCTCAGGATTCTAGAAGGACATTGACATAGGACAGGAAAGAGACATTTGCAAAAAACTGGGTTTTCTGAATATCTCTGTGCTTTTAGTACCTTTACAATAAAAGGTGCCATGTATCACCTCTGCTGTTTATATGGTACACACGGGAATCCTGAAATATTTAATTAATGTTCTGATAATTTTCTGTCATTCCATCCTCCATTTCCAGTAGCTATTGTGGGTGCACAAATGATGTCAAGGCAGAGAAGGACCATCAGGGGCCATATCAGTAGTCAATATGTATTACCTCAGCCTAAGAACTGAGCATGGCTCAAAGGAAAAATAAGACATGGAAAACCAACTGACAAATCAGAATACTCACATCTTGACTGTGCAATTTTTGAACAAAATCTTGCGTTGGTGTACCTGTTATTTTCATTATTTCTGTGAGTTGGTCCAGATCTGAATACCAGAAATAAGGAACAAATTCTTTCACTATTAGGAAAGTAAGCATCCTGCAAAAGTAATGCATTTCTTTGCTGTTGGAGAATAATGTAAAAATTTTAATTCAATGACTGAACAGAAGATTTATAAAAGATGAAAGTTCTCCATTTCTCTTAAAAAAGGCAAAGAAAATATCCTATAATTTGGGAACACATAATTGAATCATCTGCAAAATTTTCTAAAATCATAAGGCTTGTTCTGTATTGTTTGGACAAAAATCAGTCCAAGAATTTTAAGAGTATCTAAACAATCAACACATGTTTTGCATGCACTAGGAAAAAAATAGCTTTTCTCTTATCACAGAGCCTTCTACTTGATGATTTGGGATGTGATTTTAAGATCTCTACTGAAAAAAAATCAGAAATACAAGTTTTAATTGGCAGGTGTGCAAAAGTGGTACAGATATAAAATAATGATTTAATGAGAAAGTTGCAAGCCATTTTACTATTAATTTCAATTTATACTCATCTGTTTTTGAACAGACTTACTGTATCACATAACAACCTCTCATAATTTTCTTACATCAGTATCATAAATTCACTGAAGGATACGATCATTTCCCTTGAACAGAGGTCTCCCTGTTATCATCTCAGCCATTATACAGCCCACAGACCAGATGTCAACTGAAAAAAAGACCAGGAGGCACATTAACCTGTCTGTTTAAATGTACATAAAGTTTAATTTAAAACATATTTTAAATAAGTATAAAAATTACCTTCATAGCCTGTTATAAAATAAACGTGTGCCTTGCCAAGTATGATGAACAGCACAGGTAAAACTACCAGACTTTCTAATGAGCAAACTGGAGATAATCTCATAATATGCAGAATGAATTTCTCAGTAACAGGCAGAGGAAGTAAATTTTCAGTACTTTCAAAAACTTCCATAGTGTTATTTGAATTCCCTCCAATTGCCATTTCTCCCTGTCTGTTCAAATTAAAATCATCACACCTTTATAGGAGCACAAGAAGAGAGACCAGACTGTCCTGTCTGTATAATTTGAATAATTTTTTCTAATAACCTTGGCACTTTCTGTTACTCTCAGAAAACATATATAAAAATCCCCAAACTCACAACCACATGATTACCTGCAATTTATCTACAAGGAAATGCTGCATAATTATACGGTCATTTCCACCTTCATTTCAGAAACAAAGCCTTGTGTATATCTCACCTGATCCAGTGAATGCTTCAGCTCTGTTAAGATAATTTTGAGGAGACACTGACCTGTCTGAGTATAATGCATCCAGTTAAGAATGACCTCTGGGGCTCTGTACCACCTTGTAACCACATAGCCAGTCATCTCACTGTCTGTATGCCTTGCCAATCCAAAATCCAGGATCTGTAGTGGAAGCACAAAGCACGTTAGATCAGATAGCTTGTTATCTAGTTCATACAGTTGTTTACAACTGTAAGAAAAAAACAAAACTGGAGCAATCTGCAGAGATTAGTTTATTTTTGTATCTTTTTCTCATTGAAGTGTCTTGTTCTCATTTTAAAAATCAAGACAGAGGTAGCAGAGAGATTTGAATAACTTTTTTTCAAGTTACATACTTCTATGGCACCATCAAAAGCTGTAAGACCAGTAAAGAAAATAATAAATTATTCACTTATTAATTAAAAAGATACTGGACACATTTAATACAAAAAATTCCCTGACCACAGAATCACCATTGTATCAAGTTACAGCTAAAAGAACAGCACCCATTTTAAACAATGTCCACTGCTCTCATATCCCAGGTGGCACATTATTCAAGAGTGTGTTCCAACAATATTCTGAAGAAAGAAGGTATTGTTATTTCTACTTTATGAATAACTCACACAAGGGAAGACTTCCTCTAGGTCACATTGAAAACTGGCAACAAGAGTATGGAATTACCATCACTTAGTCCCATCAGGACTTCTCCAACCTCCAGCATCAATTACAGAAAAACCTTTTGAAACAAATGCAAGAACCGTGGAATTTTTTTTTAAGTGCTATGCACAATTCAGCTTATTTCTAAGATTCTCAGATATTTCTCTCTAGATACAGCAATGTGTACAGCAGCAAGATTAAAAATGAATGTTATGGCCTTTTGTCAACTTCTATAAAATCTGCCTTAAGAAGCACCACCTGTACGGACCATGGGAAGATGCAGAAAACAGCAAGAAAATTCCATTCCTGGAACAACAATCAGCTTGTATTTATTGGAAAGCTCATGCTTCTAACAAGAACAGGGAGGCATGGGTAAGTCAAGTTCTACTGAAGATAAACCATGGTGACACACAGGTGTCACAAACATGAAGCTTGCATGAGCAGCCACAGTTTGCCATGTGAATCACACTGCACATGTTTATTGATAGGGCAGGGGTTTTAATAGGGACACCTGAGCATTCCTATGCCAAGAGTCATGTTTTTGTAATGCTCTCTGCAATTAAGCATTCTAAGATATTTCAGGAAAGTTTCATCATTCCCTGGCACTAACAGAAAAAGGAAAACTATATTTTCATTCACAAATCAAGAATACAAAATGTTATGGCTTATCTTTATTGCCATACTGGAAATATAATTTCCATGTTTTCCTCATAACTGCTGATTACCAATCAATTTAAAAACAGGAACAGAATGCAAAGGGAGACATTTTTTATTCATACCAATTAAATGCACTTGATTGTGGCTGATTCTTTGGGTACTGAAGATTCACCAGATGCAATTTTTTTGTATATATAATTTTTGTATAAACCTTTATATATGGCTTTTATTGTACATATTCAGCACATGAATTTTCCCAGTATGACAGCAGGGAGGGTGGAAGAAAAAAAAACCAGGCCAAATCCAGGTGTGGTACAGTCTATTCTGTCACAGTCTTTTAGGCATTTATCTACCAAGGCTTGTGACATGTAAAGTTGGAAACAGCTAAAATATAATTTGGTTTTGTAGATTTGTAGAAGTAGAAAACGACAGCAAGCATTTTTTGTGTATTATGCTTTAACTTCATGATTTATTTTCATTTACATTTCATTAAGCTCAGGAACAAGGGTATCCTATTTGTACTTAACAAGGTACCATTTCAACAACTATCCTCATATAAAACTTTTATTCTCACACTCCAATCTTCAACTTTTCAGCTTGAACTTCCACAGCAATTTTCAGAGCATGTTTGAAAATCCTTCTTATAATTTGTGAATTATGAAACAATGACCCAATTTCCTTCAGCTCAAGGATAGGTCTCCTTTGACTCAGCAAACTTAATTTTCCTAATTTTTTTCATTAACTAACAAAAATAACTTGAGACTACAGAAAGGGCAGTGATTTCCTCTCATACACCCTCCACTGTCACTTTTCTGATACCTATGTAGGAGTTGAGAGAAAAACGAGTATCAGAAAGCTCACTGGGAAAAAACTGATAGCTAATTAATTACCCTTCCAAGGAATTGCTCCAACGTGCCTCCAGTCTCATCATCACTGGAGCTGATACAAGGGAAGCTGCCGAGTGCACAGACATGGGGGAAAATGGTTGCACTATATCTGGCAGCACGATCCTGTGCCTGCATAAACTGACTTTGAGAGTGTGCAGAAAAAGATTTGTTAAATAAGTAGATACAGATCAGGAGACACCTGGCCTGCATCTCAAAATATAATTGTACAGCTGAAGGTGTAGAGGGAGACATCCATATACAACTGTTTTTTCTAGACTGTCTTATTTTCCCATCAGTGTGGGATCCATTCACAATTTGTCCACCTCCAAGCCAGGAAAGTCAATGGCTTTTTGTGTTTGATATGAAAACACTAAAATTACAGAACCCTGGAACATTTGAGTCAGTCTCCAAAGACCAAAATTTGTATGACAGTGGCTACATGCAAAAATATATTTTGCGTGTTGCAGGCTAAAAACCACTCTTGTAGTGCTCTGCATCACATTTTATTTTATTCCATTAAGGGTGTCCTTCACAACCTTTGAGCTTCTGTATCTCCCAGCTTGTAGAGTAAGACTTTTTCTATTTATTTAAAGCTGAAATTCTCACATAACCGAATCACTCCCATCAACTCTTATGTCTCTTTTAGGGACAAAACCTTGGCCATAAGATCTGATGTGTCCTTACACACCAGGACACAAAAGTCCCCCTTCAAATTCCCTGTTGTTCTGTGAGGATGTACAGGCCAATTGTGATTCAAGAGCAAAAAGCCTGGCCCAACACAGGAACCAGCCAGCATGTCCACAGCTGCTGCATCTGTTGTCTTCTGTCTTCTAACATGTCTGACTGGTTTTTCAAATAAACATACCTTACCTTCAATTCACAGTCTTCATTTACTGCCAAGTTTCCAGGCTTTAGATCCTGCAACCAGATTTTAAATGAATGTTTTGAGGTTTTTTTTGATTTTACAGCAAGACAATAAAGTTCTCTTTTTTGCTATCCTTCCTTCTTTCTTTCTGGTTTTACAGTTTTTATGTAACCATTTTGAACAGCAACAGATAAAATGATGTCATAACACAAATAATACAAAGAAGGATGCAAACTTGCATATTTGGCCTTTTTCCACTATACTTCCCCTGCAAGAAAAATCAATTTTTTTTCCTGCTATAAGTCAGGAAAATGCTTGCCAGTGAAGGAATTCACTAATTTTTCTATGAGAGGGGTTTAGACATAAACTTGTTTCATTTAATATCAAGACCACAAGGTTAACAATTCACATATATAGTTCTGGACTCTACATGTTGCATATTAAAATATGCATTATAAAAATTCCTTACCCTGATAGACTTAGAAGGAGTAATGAAAGAATCAAACAAGATTTTACATAAAATTCTATGCTCTCTTCTGTCGAAAAATCAATTTCCTAAGAAAGTCAACACAACTGCAACATGAAAGAAATATTCCCTTAAGTCTCTTAAGCCACCTTAGAGACTTCCAATGATCTTCCACAGTTGTAAAGTTTAGCAAAGGGAAGACTACTGGCAAGGACTAAGATGATATTGCAACATCAATGGCTCAGAAATACATTATTAGATATACATTTTCCTTCAGCTTTTTCAGACCTTTGTTTGATACACTTTAGCACAAGATCTTTAGAAGTATCTTCTCTCTGAACTTTTTAACAAGGGATCCACCTGTTTTATACAAAGATCTTTTAAGATCAGAGGGGCCTTGGAGAGAAACAATTTGGTGCAAAAAACCATAATGAAACCAAGAAGCTCAAGGGTCATCAAGAGAGACCTTAGAAGAAAACTAAGCAAGGGTAAGTTTAGACCATGATCCCAGCAGTTGCAAAAATAAAAAGATAAATATTTTACATTATTTTGTCAGTTGTGTATTTTCCATGTCCAGTTTAAAGCTGATACAATGTGCACTGTCTATGGTGCTCCTGACACTTTATTAAAAATGGACAATTTCTACTGTTCTAATACAGTTTTGGGGGAAGAGATACTGCTTGGTACCACAAAGGCATCATTCAGAACTCCTTCTTCACAGTGCAGAAGTGATTTCAAGTGGACTTTATACAGAGAAGGGATTAAAAAAGAAACAAATGCTTAATTTCTCTCAGAAAAAAAAAAAAAAACTGAGGTTCTTAAGTCTCTATAATTTTGGGCAATTTTTTTTAGTTTCTATGGTTCCCCCAAAACTTTGAACACTAATAAAACATTTAAAGCAAACCTGAACATTGTTTTTAAAAGTTTAATCTTCATTTAAAAACTAACAAACAAAAATCCCCCAACTCTTGTCTTTCTCAATTTAGACATTATTTGCTCTTGTGGAGACTTACAACTCAGTTTCAAAAAGTAATCTAGGAACCCCAAATCTAAGCTGTATTCAGTGCAACTTGAGTGCCAGCTTACACTGACACAGCCATGCCACCTTTTGTTCCCACTGAAGAAGAAATCAAAGGCACCAACAAACTGAGAAAACCTATAAACTGAATTTCAGGCCTATTTATAAGCATGCTTATACACAAACATCACTCACATTATCAAAATATAAACATCTTTCATGTTTTTCCACTTACCCTGTGAATTATGCCTGATGAGTGAATATACTGTAAAAAGAGAAAGTATTTTTTTAGTCAAGGTCTTGAGTTTAAAAGTGGCCTGGGGTAGGAGAGAAAATACTTTTACATGGTGCTAAAGCAAACTGAAATTAGAAAAAATTTATTTGTTGCACAGAAGACCCCTTTAGCTATGGTTTTAATGTTTATTTAATGTTCATTAGTATTTTGTCCTTTCCCTCTTAATAATGAGAAACCACTAATTCAGTTTGAGTACTGCAACTGATATATGTGTATCAGAAAGAAACATGGTATTTTATACATCAGAAATGCTCTCCTACCACAGGTGTCTCTGGTGTGCCACCATAGTTTAGATTCATATGCTTCAGCAGCACTGGCTTTTAAGAGATCATTAGGACTGGGATGAAGGCCAGTCAAGGTCTTATCTGAGAATTTTTGCTACATGCTTCAGTATTTCCTCAATGGAAAATGGAAAGGTCAAGTTCAAAGACATTCTCTTTACTTGCATATTTTCATCACCCAGTCAGTGACCTATTTAAAGGCTCACAAAAACCAAACCACCAAACTGAACACCCAGGACTAGTTCTTTCAGGATGACACCTGACAAAATACAGATGTTCAAACCCATGACTGTCACCAAATGCTCCCCACTGTGGAACGCAGTTTCTCTCACCACTGAACGATACCCTAGAAGAGACTCTTTTCATCACAGTCAATAAAGGGAACTTCTAGTAACTAGTTCAGATAAATGCATCTCTTGCAAAGATTGAAATGCAGAAAGCTGTTCTGAACTGAGGACATGGTTTCCAAGAGCAGCCTGGATGTGCTAATCCCTTCAGGGGTGGGGAACTGATCTGAAACCCCCACAGACCATACTAGTGATGCTAAAAAACACAAGAACAATAAAAGTATTTTAAAAAAAGACTTGGGAAAAGATGAAGAAGATGCAAATCCTCCAGCTTCACCTGAAGAATTTTCATTTTATTCCACTCTGAAGAATGGGACAAGTGGCAACAGAGTCACTAGGAACTAGCTGGCAGAGCCAGAGAGGACCAACCAAGAATAGTCAGCAGAAACACACAGAAGAAAGGAGCTTTGCAGGATAATTGCAAATCAGCCACAGCAATGACCATCTTCCCCAGCAGCCCTCAGGATGGGCAATTAAGCTCACAAATGCAACAGTCCCTCTGCAAAAGGGTCCTCATAATCCAGCAGATGAGAAACACCAAGACAAAGAAAGCAAAGCTACAGAACAAAAAACTTCTTCAGACAGAACCAATGTGCCTTTGAGTCTTAGATTTCTGAATTTAAAACACAACCCATACAACCTAAGCAGGACAAGATCTGCATTTATGGTGCCAAGCTTTTAAAGCAGTGACTGAAAAAAATCTCTGACAGTAAGTCCTCTCCTACACCTGACCAGCCACACCAGATGTGGTCTCATAGGTTCTGAAAAGACAGATGGGGGGAAAAGCCCCCACTTCCTTTGACCCTGTGCCTACAACTTTACCAATCCAGCCCAGGCCATGGTAGGGTGCTGTGCCAGAGCCCAGGCCTGTCCTGGCAGCTGCAGTACACCAGCTCCTGCTGCAGATTACTTATAGATTGGGCAAGGTTTAACATCACCCATAGGAAATGCCAAAGCCTCTCACAGGATTTCCTGGGGCTGACACAAGACTTTGAGGGCACACGGCTGCTTCACAGAATGTTTGCTGTAAAACCACTACAGCAAACACAAAACTACAAAATGTTTTATCTGTTATGGATGTGCATGAAGTGAATTGGGACAGGAGGAGGAGGAAGTTTGTCAATTGTACATGGAGACCATGTGCACTTTAAAAAATAAAACAACAAACCCAAACCAGAAATGTAACTGTAAATAGCTAAACTCCCACTGAGTTAAGAAAAAGATGTCCTCTGTTATCGCTGTCTTGATCAAGGATATCACAGTATCTACTTGCATTCTAAATTATTGCAATATCTTCTAACTGAAGCCTCTTGATTTTCCAGAACAGATGCTTAAAATATTCTATAGTTGGTTAGTGTTGCTAAGACTGTACACAGTAAGGAAATAGCTGGCAGACCCAGTCATTTGGCACCTAAGAATGTGGAATGTAGAAACAGGAATTAAAAGGTCTGCACCCTTCAAAATTTCAGTTAAAGAAAATCTCACCTCTTTGGGGGGAAGAGTGTGATTTTGCTGTCATTCTCACCCCACTGAAGGTTTTATGAATGTTCACAGCACCAAAATCATGTTAACACTGTGGGGAAAGCTCCTATGTTTTCTGAACGCTCCTCTTAACATAACACTACTGAGATTACCTGAATTAGCAGTTATTCCTGATTGCAATGCACATATCAGCCTTTCTGTAAGCTGAAATACTGGTGCTGGGCTGCAATGTTTCTTTAACAATAGCAGTATTTTTTTAATTGCATTTCATAATCTCCTGGCAGGTAGCAACACTGGAACTGTGCCAGTCTTCATTCGGAAGGTTTTCTATTTCTGTTCAACAGGATTCTGAAATGGGATCCTGTTCTTACTGGTTCTCCTCATTAAATTATCCATCTATTGACAGATATTTCATTCTTAACGATTCAGAACAGAGTAGTCATATCCTTCACAATGTTTCTACCACTTCACCTGAACCATAATTTATTCAAGAACCCAGTTAACACAAGTGAAGTTCCTTGGAGCATGGGAGCTCTGCGCATTATCCTAAAGACAATTTTGATAGCATGCATAAATCCTGGAATGCAAACTTCAGATCATGCTAGGAAGTCATCCAACAATCACCTAAATTTTAAACATTCATTACTTTCTATGTAATCTCTACACAAAATAAAAAGCTAATCAAAAGGGAATTAGCAAAGACTCAGGAGAATGTGTTCTAGGCAACATGCAAAATGAAAATGAGAAGCATCTTGGCGGGGAAGTAAAAACTGAAGAGGAAATGAGTCAGAGGGGGAAGGGAAAGCAGAGAAGCAGAAAAATCCAGCATAAATGTGAACAAAAGCCAGTAAATACAAATGAGAAAAGGAGAGAACTAGAGTAGTACATCTTACCATAAATATGGCAAGAGAAGCTTGAACAGGTGTTTGCATGGCCCAAGAGCTGTCTGTCCCTTCCCAAGCACTATGAATAAAGAGAGGACTGACAGCCACCTCCCCCAGACCTCTATGAACAGGAGCCCAGCTGGCATTCCTGCAGAACAGGGACCCAAGACTGAAAGCTGCAGTCTCTTTCCACCTACATATACAGATATTTATGTTTAGCTTGCCTTCTGTACTCTTTGACAATACACAGCTTTTCTGTCAAACAATAACAAAAAAGAAATTATGAAAGTCCTTCCAAGATGCAAGCTCACATGTAAGTAAAATTTAATACCAGACTAAGGCCCGACTAGGCAACAGGCAAAGGAGAGGTAAGCCATTGTTTTTTAAGTGGTGTCACATCACATTGAATTACAAGGCTCACCAAAGAAAGAAAATTAATATTTCATTCTCTGTAGAAAAAAAGACAAAAAAAAGAACTGTACAGACTTGCAGAGCAAAGGCTGAAGATTAAAATCTTCATGAACTCAGTCTTGACCTCAATTCATACAGGTTTTTTAAAATCAAGGCTGTTGAGCCCTTTGTATACAACTAATCCAGAACCAGCCTACAGACAGAATGTAGAAATGAAGCCTGCAAGGAAACAACAGTGGGGGAGGGGGGGCTTAGAAAAAACCCCTTTATCCCTTCAAAGTACATCAGTCACACAGTTCTCCCTTACACAGGTTAAACTGTCACATGGACAAATGCATATTGCACGTTACATCTTTAACACCAAAAAAAACCCCTCAGAATAGACACCATCAAAGTTAAAAGGTGAAAAACAAAGTCATCATACAAAGGAGAGGGTAAGCTTGAGAAGCTGAATGAGTTTTACCACAAAGATCTACAGTGGCATTCTCCCTCTTCCAAGGTATTGCAAGCATTTTTCCCTTATAATGCCTCTACTGAGTTCTAGCTAAATGTATGTTTGTTCCCCATGCCCCACCAAAAAAGCATCCAAGTAAACACAGATGGGCTGTCTTTAACCCAGATACAGTAGACCTTAAAAAGTACAAGACTTTCATGAAAAACTTGGCTAACCCTTTCTTAAACAGCTAATTTACTGATATCTGTAAAAGAATAAACAAATTACTGACTCATTTTCTTTCTTGTCTGCATGTTAGCAACACTGCTTTCAGCTTAACATATTTCCTAGCACAGACAGGGCTACAAGAATGTGCCTCAAACACTGGACTATTCCTATTTCTTAAAAATATTTTCAGCTAGGTGTGTACTTTTGTCTGAAATGGTTCAATGAGAATCCAAAATTTAATGGAACAGGTACAGTAAAGACTGTTCTCCAGAGTTTGCTGTGTAATAAGAAATGACAAAACAGTCTAGTAGCGAAATAATATTTTATTTCCTGCTGGTAATTTTGAGGTACATACAGTTTTACTCTCAAAAACATGGGGTAAGAAACTATTCAGGTAAACCACTTCTTACAGAACATTTATCACAGTTACTATCTCAGCATCCCTGCTGGTAGCTGTTGCCATGTAACTGCTTTTATTTTTATGTTCCTCCCACAGGACACAGTCCTTCTTGAACTCTGTCAACTTCTTTACACAGGATGCAGTCCTTCAGGAGTGGACTGCTGCAGTGTGGGTCCCCCAAGGGCCACAGGTCTCATCACTAAACCTGCCAGGGGCCTGCTCCAGCACTGGCTTTCCATGGGCTGCAGCCTCATTTAGGCCACATCCCTGGGCCCCAGGATGGGGGAGCCATGGCTGCTGTCTGGATATCTGCTCTGTCGTGGTCCTCCATGGGTTGCAGAGGAGCAATCTGTGCCACCATGGTCTCCATGGCCTGCAGGGAAATCTCTACTCCAGCACCTGTAGCATCTTCTCCCCCTCTATCCTCACTGACCATGGTGCCTGCAGGGCTGCTTCACATTTTTTCACTCCCCTCTCACAGCTGATGTCAACATTTTTTACCCCTCCTTAAATGTATTGCCACAGATATGCCATGAATACTGGGTCAGCTGGGTCAGCTTTAGCCAGCAGTGGGTCTGCTTTGCAGCCAGCTGGAACTTTGTTCAACATGGAAGCAGTTCCTGGTGTCTTCTCACAGCAGCCGCCCCTGCAGCCTTCACTAACAAACAAACCTTTCCACAAACCTGCCCAATGTATCCTCATAAATTCCTGCTCTGTTTTCTTCCCATGTATGTCAACCACACCCAGTTGCTCCACATTTGTCTTCCACATTTACTGATCCAACAGACTTCAGCATCAGCCTTTGGAGCCACAAGTTCTGCTCTGCTGGCCTCTGTCATAGAGTGTCTGTCACTAGGCCCAAAATGTTTCTAAGCCATTTCACCAGAATTAAATTAATTATTCATCCTTTCCACTACACTCAACCTAAGCTAATTCTTTACAGTTCATATACTGCTTGCCTGTAAAGTCAGCAGAAATACAGTTTTTCATCCCTGGTGAATAGCATGTCTCTCCCAGAAATTTGCTTCCCAGACTGGAACTTAAACAGACCACTCCACTTTACACAGTCCTTAAGACAACACTTATTAGGACATGGCTTTGTGACTAGGGAGCTAATTACAGAACTGAAATCATAACTCCACATTCAGAATCCAGGTTAGAGGTGAATTTCCTCCAGTTTAAATCAAACCATTTTCCCCAAACCTGGCTTTAGTTTACCTGACTTGAGCACCTACATTTGTAAAATGGGAATTGTAGCACTTAAATGCACAACTGTAGAACACAAAAGATAATGACTTAGCACATGTAAAAGGCTATGTGAGCAAAAATCTACTAAAATAAGAACACAAAATCCAGGATAGGGTCAAAGAGAAATCAATAATGCAGGACTCAACAAGAAAATGTATTTATTACATTTTGTGATGGGAGTAAAACAATTTATTTGACCTTCTGTATCTGTTAAGTGCTGAGGGACAACAGAATGGTGGTTATTCTGTTCCTGATGTCATTGTCCAGGCACAGCATGCTGTGCTGCTATTTAAATATTTTTTAATAGTGTTTGGCAATGCAAGTATAGATCTGGATGAATCCACATCCTGATGGAAGTGCCAGATGTTCCTGTATCAAAATCAGGTCTATATTTCCACTGCACAAGCAAACCCCTACACTGACTTCACTTATCTGTACAAGTACAGAGGAAAGTTCTGTCCATACATTGTGTGGTTACAGGACCATAAAACCAAAACTGTACAGTGCCAGCAGCAGCCAAGGAATGACACACAATTTAAGACAGTGCCATTCCATAGCCTCCTTATGTCTCCAGAGCAGCAAAGAGAATTCAACAGCCTTTACTGCAGGAGAGCCTGGATAAAACCTGAGACCTAGGTCAAGGGTTTTCTTTTCTTGGAATTGTGTCACCAAAAGAAAAAAGTAGTATACCCAAAAAGTAAACACAGTAATTTAAGAACTGTAGTACTAATATGGACCAAGAATCATTTTCACATCGTATTAACATAGGTTATAGATAAAACCAGTGAGCTTAAGGAATATCTTCTTTTTGTGTTATAAGACCATGAACTTCAATATGCTCAGTCCAATTTTTAAAAGCCAAACAGCACAAAAAAGGAGTAGCAAAATTAAACAGTATTTAGCAAAAGATGAGGAAGAAACACACGCAAAGTATATGACAGCTAATACATTTAGAATCATTCTTGTGAGAGTTAGTAAAATTCAAGATTATGTTTTTACATTATTTGCTATAGCTGTAAGCTCTGCAGTCCACATAGTACAGTATCTAAGAGATAAAATAAAGATGAATATAAACATTATTTCTGAGAAGGAATGGAGGATTAACAGTCAGGCTTACTATGTGAAAAGACAAAGAAAATCATGAACAAGACCAACAACTAACTTATACATGGCATTTGGTTATACTTTTTATTTAAGAAAATGATATATCAAAATCATTATTCTTCCCAAGACTTACTGGAAGAGCTTCAAGATGAAGCTTTCCTACACAGTTCAAAACGAGACAAATCTGCATGGGCCATTACAGTCTTTTATGAGTGTTTTTCTATCTTCACAGTGTAAAACATCAGCACACAATAAACAGACACTAGTTAAGTCAAGATCAAGGAAAGGTGACAGGAGACAAGAACTCCTAGGGAAACCAAAACATAAAAAAGCATACATGAGATAGAAGCAGAGTCAGATCACCCTGCAGGAATGTGGAGATACTGCCCAAGTGTGCAGAGATGGAATCTGGAAAGGCAAAGCCCTCTTGTCCTGAATATGGTAAGAGACACAAAGGTCAAAAGGAAGGACATGTAAACTGGGAGCAAAAACAAAACTAGGGAGAATACAGCCAATTGCACCAGGGGCATGAAAAAGCCAAGGTACTCAATGCCTTCTTTTAATCCATCATTACTGGTAGTATTTGCCGAATCACAGGTCCCTGAAACTGCTGGAAAAGGAAGGACCAAGGAAGACTTAACCCTCAATGGTGGAGGATCAAACAAGGAATATCTGAACAAACACAAATTTAACATTTAAACAAACACCCTGATGGGATGCACTCATGAATTCTAAGAGAAGCTGGCCAATGTCATCAGGAGTCCACTTAAAAGTATGTGAAAGGTCATGGTGATCAGGAGATGTTCCTTATGATTGCAAGAAAGCAAATATTGCTCATGTCTTCAAAAGGGTATTGAAGAAGAGGATCAAAGAAGATCAGTCAGCTGCACCTCACTCCCTGGGAATGTGATAAGCAAGTAATTCTGGAAACCATTTCCAAAAATTACAAGGACAAAGAACTGATTGGCAGTAATCAACATGGATTTACAGAAGAAAATCATGCTTGACAGCCTGCTAGCCCTCTATGATAAGACAACTGGACTGGTGGATGACAGGAGGGCAGACAGTGTTGTTTACCTTGTCTCTTGTAAGGCTTTTGAAGCTCTCCTAACACCCTGAGAGACAGTGGAAGTAGGAGTAAGATTAATGGACAGTGACTGAGCTGCCTGGATCAACGTTGACTGAACTTTGATCAAACAGCTGTGATCAGTGGCAGGAAGTCCAGCTGCAGGCCCATCACCAGCAGTGTCCCCCTTAGGGATGGTACTGAAGTCAGATCTGTTTATCATTTTCATTACTGACCTGGATGATGAGACAGAGGGCTCCCTCAGCAACTCAGCAAATGATGCAGAACGGACAATAATGTTAACACCAGATGATTGTGCTGCCATTTAGTGAGACCTCCACAAACTAAGGAAATGGGCTGACAGGAACCCACCAAAGTTCACAAAATCCTGGGAGGGAATAATGCCATGCACCAGACAAGGCTGGAGATTGACCAGCTTGGCAGAAAAGGACCTGTGCCCTTGCACCAAAGACAACCAAAAGCCTCATGCATTGGGCAGAGGATTGCCAGCACCATGAAGATGATCCTTAACCTTTTCTCAGCTCTCAAGAGACACACATGGAGTGCTGTGCTCAGCTATGGGCTTCTCAGTTAAAGAGAGATACTGAAGCAAAGCCAGTGAAGCTTAATGATGATGACTATGGGACTGGAGCACCTTATGTAAGACAAGAAACTGAGAGAGACAGGATTCTTCAGCTATAAAATTATACTTTCTATAATAAATTAATATAATAATTTTAATTTAGTATATAATTTTTACTATACTAGGTGAGATAAATTTTATCCTGCTATTAAATTATAAGTACTTATAGTTCTCCATAACAGTTTACTGGGCAAAAAGACTGTGAAATCAAAATAGTAGTACAACTGGCAAACCTTTAAGCCTTTCAACATCTGATATACCAGGAACTGGATTCGATCTTCAGTTAATTTCTCATGCTTCATTATCTTACTCAAGTCTGTTCCCATAAATGGCATGACGAGGTAGCTTAAAAGAAAACAAAAAAAAATAGAAAGAAAACCAAACAGATTAACTTGATTAACTTTGTTATGTAAAGCATTATTGTATGTTATAGTTCAATTACAATATTTAATTATAGATCATTCCATTTACCAAACAATTCATCCTCCCACCCTCCAAGCCTATCTGTTTTTATCTGATTGTCTTAAAGAGGTATTGCCCAGTTTTATCACTATTTATGGAAATTTGCTAGTTATCAGAACTAGCTTAGAAAGAAACTAACCAAAGCCTCATGATATTTCAAAGACAGCTTTGAAAAAAAAAAACTAAGACATTCATGCAAGGCAATGTATCTCACAGTCATGACTGAGCAGCACAGCCACAGAACTAGCAAAATCTGGAGGATGATTTTAGGGTCTCATTTAAAACACAGTGCTTCAATGCTCATCATGTACATGTGCACTCTATTACATATGTTGTGTAAAATGCTAGCACAATAGACAATATGGACAACATTTATTTTGGCTCAACAATCAATATGAACACATGCTCCATGTTTTCTGTACTTCATTTTGTACATTTTTCTGTAGATAGCTTTCTTTGTTAACATATAAATACACAAGGTTGTTTAGGAAACATAGATACACTAGATGAAATCCAGAACAGTTCTACTAACACAGGAAACCTACATTAAACCCTAAAGGATTTCTGGGCACTGTGTCTCTAGCAACTCTAATTCAGCAGAATTGTAGCAGTAAACAAGTAAAACAGCAGACATGTTAAACACCTTGTGTTTGAGATGCCACCAAAGGTAAGGGAGATGTGGCAGAAACAACCTGTATCAGGTGCTGTTTGGACCCTGACTGGGAAAACAATAATGGGACACAACAGACCACAATGCAGATAAACACCAAAAAATTCAGCAGAACAAGCACTTTTAACTGATCCTTGAATTTGGATGGATCCCACTGAGATATGCCATATATATATATAGATATAGCGGGGGTAACTTTCATCCAGCCTACTGGATTGGGTTAAGAATTGTCCTACCATTTGAGCAAACTGGGTCTTAGGGTAAGAAATCACTATTTGTAAGGTAGATTAGGGAATTCACTAAACTGCCATTTACTAAGGGCTGAAAGACAGGAAACTGGTTCCAATGACAATCTGAGAACTCCAGCCCACCAAAGCTGCATGTAAGAGTTATATTAAGATGAAACTCAGGAAAAAAAGTCCATGAAGCAACAATTTTGAAATTCTCTATTTAAAAAGCAACAACCTTTCATCCCGCACATGCAACAATGCTCTGCTCCAAAAATTAACAACTTTGAACTTACAAGTCATTAAACTTCTCCAGTGTTACATCTGGTGTGAACACATCCAAAATTCCAATGACCTAAAAAAAAAAAAAAAGAAAAAAGTAGAAAAAAATTAATGGCTGATTTGACACAATAAAGCCTAAATCACCTAATAAGTGAAAAAATATAATCCAAAATATATTGAGACATTAGCTACAGGCATAAACATGGCAGAAAGAATACCTGAAGTAGTGACAGGATTTGTTATGTGTTAGATTTTATAACTCAGATGACAGTTTTACCCTGTGACAAAAAAATATAAGAAGTACCTACTGGAGCTAAAAGTTCAGAGGCTAACAATTTTATTTTAAGAGGAGACAGTATTTTATCACTTTAAATACTGACATGCTGAAAATAAACCAGAAAAATCAGTCTATAATATGAAGCACTTGTAAGTGCTCTCCACCTAGCTGGGCCTGCCGCCTATCAATGAAGTGCACTTTAAACATCTTCCAATTTCAGTAACAGGGTAATTTAGGTACATAGACTACAATAGCTTCCTGGAAGTACAATGAAGAAATCAGAATGAAACTGTTTGTATTGAGAAAAAATTAGCAAGAACTTTATATGATTTACTATGGCTTATACCTCAGGTTCTCCAAAGAGTTTTTTTTGTTAAACAAAAGCATGCTATCACTGAACAGACAAATAATAATCTAGTAAAATGGATTTTCCACCACAGCTTTTCCTATTAGTATAGATTTTGGGAGAACTACACAAACTGACTGGGTGGTGCATTACACTAAATATCAATGCTTCTTTCAAGACCACTGAACACCAGAAAATTAAATACACAGAACTCAATGCTCAAAAAGAAGTAGCTGCAGTGATCTAAAGCCAGATTTTAGATGCTGCATAATCCAGGCAGTGCCTAAATAACACAGGCTTTTAGAGCTGCTTCTTTTCTACCTCTGATGCTAATTCATGACCATTTCTGTCTGTTCAGAGGAAGACTCCCAAGCCTCAGAGTGCTTGTGGTGTTTCCCAGGTGCAGGTTGCTATGTTACAGAATCACAAAATATTCTGAACTGGAAGGAACCCACACAGATCACTGAGTACAACTCTTAGGTGAAATGGCCTGTGTGGGGACTGAACCCACAATTTTGCTGCTCTATCCTAGGGTGACATTATGATGCTTGTATCCCCATTCATATGTTCTGTTTATGCTGGCTATTATGTTCTGTGCCTTTGAGACTGGCTCTGAAGAGTGAAAGCTTTGTTTGGGTTTTCTTATCAGCCTGGCGGGACACAGAGACGGGCAGTACTTAGTGCTGCTTTTGCTTTTTTGCTTTTGCTTTTTGCTTTGCTCTCTCCCTCTCACTCTTGCTTCTGCTTTGCTTCTGCTTGCTTTTGCTCCTGCTCATTAGCTAGGTTAGCTAAACAGTCCAAATTTCTTCCTGGACTGTTTCTCCTTTCTGTTTTTGCACCATCTCAAACCTGCTCTGGACTGGGACCTGGGAACACTGAGAGTTTGCACCCTGTGGCTGCAGCAGCTGCCCCAGCGCCAGAGGGACTGAGAACAGAGCGACCACCCCCAGAGAGACTTTCTGAATTTGCCATCTTTGTCAGAGCAGTGTCATCTGGTATTGTTCATTCTGTGTGCTGGGGGTGCTGTGCCTGTTCAATAAACAGGTTCTTTCCACTCCTCTCAGAGGAATTCTTCCCGAACCAGCTGGGGGGAGGGGCCATGTCGGTTTGCTTTCTGGAGGGGCCCCCTTTGGAGATCCTCTACCAAATTCGCCCCAAACCAGGACATGCTCTTAGCAACATGAGGCTATGCAGGACTTTGCCAGAAGCAAGCTAAAAGACTAATAAGCTTTATAACCTTGTTCAACCCTATCTTTGTGGCCATACAGACATTAGGTCATACACCAAGAACTGTCATCCAAATCAGACATCTTCTTAAAAAAGTAAAAATAAAGAGAAGCATGAGCAGAAATGCAGGGGGGAAATGCAAGAAAAGGACACCTTCCTTTATTTAAAGCTTTAAATGCCCAACCATGATGAAATCCTTATTGCACACATTTTTAGTCTTTCCACATTAAGGACAGACTACTACAGTTAGACTGGATATTGTCAAAATGATGAAGAAGATAGAAAAACTAATAAAGATGAAGGCAGAAAATTATAACTCCCTTTCTCTGTAGCCACATATATTTTTGAAAAAAAGTCACTAATAATATTTACTTGGGACTGTTATATGAAACTAATTAAAGAAGAATAACTACTATAAAATAATAATTAAGCCCACAGAGGATGTGGTTATTATTTGAAGAAATACCGCTAGTGATAACATTAAAATAAGAATTTTCTTTTTTTATGACAGTTTTACATAAGGTTTTTCTTTTCTCTGTGGAGGTAGTGAGAGAAAGGAGGAGGATGGGATTACAAAGACATATTTCGCAACAGTGGAGCATAATGCAGCTCTACAGGCATTTCCTAAGGCAGTGTGTGTATGCAAACACAACCAGAGAAGTTGTGTGCTCTCTTCAGATGTACATATATGAAGAAGGAAGTTAACATTTTAGCAGTAATCTCATTTAATATGCATCTTCCCTTATTAAGCTCCATGTTCTCAAAAGTCTTGCTTGTTCTTCTTAGCAAGTATTTCCATGCCCTCATACACCTAAGCAAGAAGCATAAGAAAATAAATCCCACCACATCTGAATGTAGCAGTGAAAGACACTGGGACACCACAATGAAAAGAAGGGACACAGAGGAGGATGAAATAATGTGGCTGCTCTATCACATGCATCTGTGCACCAAGGCATTATCAGGCACCCCCTGTGAAACACAGGAGCATGAAGAACATGTTTCCATGCAGAACAGACCAGCCCCAAAACACACTAATGAAGTTCACTAACATTCTAATGTGTATCCATTCGAGTACACAGAGCTCCTGGTACTTAATGCTGCCTGATGTGCATTATTGCTGAGGAAAGGCTACAAACTTACAGAAACAAACCTATCATTGCTGCAAATCCTCTAGGGAATGAAGCCACCAAGACCAATGCTACCAGCTCCCAAAGAAGGGAATTTTAAATAATGAACCAGAAAACTCTTTAAATATGCCAAGGATTTCACAATACTTCTCTTGCTTTACAAACCAGGTTTTCTAAAAATCCTGAAATCCATGTTAGTGTCCAAAATGGTAAGACATACTAATAGTGAATCAATTTTAAAATAAAGTGAAGGACCCATTTCCTTTTCCTCTGTGATTTTTATTTAATAGTTGTGGTTTGGGATTATTTTCCTGTACTGGAGCAGAGTCATTCATATTTCCATTTAGGCCAGAGGTTTTTGCAGCTATATTAAGCACAAGGAAATATGTGATAAAATAAATCCTTCGAGGAAGATACAACTCCAGCTACTTGTTCACAAAAAGGAAAAGAAACAGATAAAGTGTAGTCAACTTCCTCCTTTATAATATGATGGAAAATCCTGTTTCTGTTTGAAACCTCTCAATTAAAGACAGTATTTGTAAAAAACTGTATGATGTTCCAGCACTAAAGTAAGCCACCATAAACAATCACAAGAATAATTTATTTTTTCATAGTGCTGACTATATGAAATGTACCAGAGATATCTGTGAAACCTTCTATAAATGTATTTTGGTGTTAATCACCACAATTACTGACACTATCAGAGTTAGAAGCTCAGCTGAGGAATGAATCCAGTACACTCTGCAATGGCAATGAAAAGAATCTGTGGAAATCAGCAGCAGTGCTGCCTTTTCAGGGTCTTATTTTTACCCCAACTAACTTGCCAAGAGGTAATTTCTCCCACAAAGAATGTATCTACTGTACATTTGACTGAAAAATAACCTAGATTTCCTCAGCCTGCACTGAAGTACTTTAATAGCTTTTATCTCAAGGACAGCGTGTAATACTGCATCACTTCCACAGAATTACAGATTGGTTTGGCTTGGAAGGGACCTTTAAGCTCATGTAGTTCTAAACCCCTACCATGGGCAGGGACACTTTCCACCAGATCAGGTTGCCCAAAGATCCATCCAACCCAGCCCTGGACACTTCCAGGGATGAAGCACTCACATCTTTTTTGAACACCCTGTGCCAGTGCCTCATGACTCTCAAAGTGAAGAATTTCTTCCTTATGTCCAATCTAAATCTACCCTCTTTCAGTTTAAACTATTGTTCTTTGTCCTGTTTTATAAAAAGCACTTATAAAAAGCTCCTCTCCATCTCTCTTGTAGCCCTCTTTGTGTACTGGAAAGCTGCTCTAAGGTCCCTCCAGAGCCTTCTCTTCTCCAGGCAGAACAACCTTCCCAGCCTGTCTTCATAAGAGTGATGCTGCATCTTCCTGAAGTGCAAACCCACAAAACTACCCATCTACTGGTCTAACTAGTTTTCCAAAGGTATGCTTTCACCCCAATATATTTACTCTGAAGCCATTGGGGAGTGGGTAGCAGCATCTCCAGCCTTTCTTAACCCTACTGTGTGTGTCCCCTGACCACACTCACCAACTTTACTGTTGTTAACAAATAAACAACAGGTTCACACTAGTATGGTGGTTTCTGCCCTTCCCTTCTCAGCTGCCTTCTTTTCCAAACACTATTCCAACAGCAGAGCACAATGGTGAATAGCTCCTTACCTCTGCCTTCCCCTGTACTTTGCATTGGATTACTTCTATTCAAGGACTGACCCATTTCATTTCTGTAAAAGACAGCTTCTGATGTAAGCAGCAGTACATCAAAAGAATCTAGTATAAATTAATAAGTAATGTAGGTTATGTGTCTCATACAGTAAGTGCTGCTTTCTCTTGCAGATGTTATGCATGAAAACACAGTGAAGTTGAGTGGTTTTAGCATTCAGGCTAAACATGTAAGTACATTTCTTAAGAGAGAGCCTTGCTGAACTACATATTATGTCACAATAAATTTTCTGCAGGATTAACTTCACGTTCCTGTGCTGTTCTCATCATGGGCATCCTTTTACTACACTAAAAACTCTCAGTCTTTTAAAAATCTTTACTATTCATGCCAAGGCTTGTACCACAGTCACCTTTCTCCCTCACAGAG